AAACCAAAATACAGTTTCAAAGAAAATTAATTCAAATTCAAATCATTAAATTCAGTTTCAATTTTGTGAAATTAATTTTCAAACCAATGAATTCAATTTCAACTTATGAATATACAGATTCAATCTGAGCAATTCAGATTCACTTCCTGCTGACACAAGATTGATCCCGTACAGAACCACCACAGTGAGAACCTACAAGCTGCTGTCAGAAAGGCCTCAAAACAAGCCGCTCTTGGAAAATAACGTATGATTTCAGGGATGTGATCAGTGGCTGAAGGCTGCTTGTGGGTCATTTAGTCAGAACAGAAACAGCATCTGCAGGCAAGTTTCACATGAATGTTTCAAATATTCATAGAGCAGATCTGCTCAAGCATAGAGAAACTTTCGACAGCTTTGTGTATCATCCTGACTTGACCTGCTTTCAGCTGCTTCATGGTTGAACGATGATAAAGTGCATGTAAGCCAGAGAATGCTTCTTTTCATCAGCATTCTTTTGCTTATTTGGAGCAACAAACTGTTGACTAATCTGTGTGAGGCACACATTCTTGTCAGGTTGTTTGGGGTTTTACATAAGAGTCTGTCTGAGTTGGTGGATTTTTAGGATCAGACACTTTTGTGAGGTCCAAAGGGTATTTACATAATCCATGAACAATATAATTCCCAGCCCCATGTATGTCTACACTGAAACAGCCAGGGGCTAGCTGAGTACCATGAACTGTGCATGAAAGTCTTGATTATTGAAGCACATTAGACTTTATGAATATGTGTATATGAGTCACTGATGCCAAGTAACCAGTTTGTTCTCTTCACAGCAATGCTATAAGGTATTTTGTACTGTGTAGATGTGTGACTTGGATGTTTTTGTGTTTCAAATGGGGAGGCTGAGGTCAAAGAAGCTGATCCTTCAGTATCCAGTAAAGATGACTTCCACACCTTTGATGAGTGGAGGAAGCAAGTTATGGAGAAAAGTAAGTGCAGACATAAAACATGTTCAAATTCATGTAAATAGAAAAATAAATCACAACTGTAATGCCTTTTTTTACCGTACCCTTATTACCATGTAATTAAAAATAAAAAAATGTAATTAAATGTAATTACTACCTTATTACCTTGTAATTACATGGTAATAAGGGTACCTTTAAAATAAAGCATTACCATCACAACTACAGGAGAAATAATGAGTTGTATATGTTTCAGTAGATGAATACTAATCCATCCATTCAGGCACCTTTCACTTATTCTGAGTCTGGTCTCAGGGGCCAGCAGCTTGAGCTGGGGGTCCAGACCTCTCTTTCCACAGCCACCTTTTCCAGTTCTTCTGGGAGGACTCCAAGGTGTTCCCTGACCAGGCAAGAGACATAGTCTGTGTTCCCTGACCAGACAAGAGGCATAGTCTGTGTTCTCTGACCAGACAAGACATAGTCTGTGTTTCCTGACCAGACAAGTGACATAGTCTGTGTTCCCTGACCAGACAAGAGACATAGTCTGTGTTCCCTGACCAGATAAGAGACATAGTCTGTGTTCCCTGACCAGACAAGAGACATAGTCTGTGTTCCCTGACCAGACAAGAGACATAGTCTGTGTTCCCTGACCAGACAAGTGACATAGTCTGTGTTTTCTGGCCAGACAAGAGACAGTCTGTGTTCCCTGACCAGACAAGAGACATAGTCTATCATGTCCTGAGTCTTCGTCGTATATGTCTGAAGCACCTCCCTATGGTGGTGTCCAGGAGGCATCCTCACTACACCTCTCGATGGAGGAGCAGCAGCTTTACTCTCCTTTCTAGAGGACTGAACTTCTCGGCCTATCTCTAAGGGAGAGTCCAGCTACCCTGCAGAGAAAACTCATTTCAACCACTTGTATCCACAAACTTATTCTTTCAGTCACTACCCAAAGTTTGTGACCATATGTGAGGGTAGGATCATAGACCGACTGGTAAACYGAGAGCTTCTCCTTACAGCTCAGCTCCCTCTTCACTACAACAGACCAGTACAGAGTCTACAACTCTGCAGAAACTGCACTGATCCGTCTATCAGTCTCACGCTTCATTCTTCCCTCACTGTGAACAAAACCCCAAGATAATTGAACTCCTCTACTTGAGGCAGAACTTCACCCCCAACCTGGAGAGAGCAATCCACCCTTCTCAGACTGAGGACCATGTCAAATTTGGAGGTACTGATCCTCATCCCAGGCGCTTCACACTGTTAAATAAGAGATGGAATCCACAGAACTGGACTCCGTGCACCGAGAAATTCTATCCGAAAAAATTATGATCAGAGTTGGTGAAAACATTCAGACCAGGGGCCTCATGCATAAAGGATTGCGCAGCTTTCACACTAAAAGTTAACGTAGGGACAAATTTAGAAATGTGCGCCGCACCAAAATATTCAGATTTATAAATCCATGCGTATGCAGCTTCCTGCGCACCTTTCCTTTATACATCCCAATGAAGGTGGACCTGAGTGCATGTGAGACACCTCCCCTGACACGCCTCCACTTAAATCTGTAAAATAGATGTAAATGTGTCCAGTGTGTGAGATTCTCCTCCGATTCCTCTCTGTGGGATTTAGATGCAGGAAAATTATGCATTAAATGGAGAATGAGTGAGAAAACTGTCTGAATAAGGAGTGGGGTGACATTGTTTTATGTGGCGCATTTGCACAGGATAACCAAAGCCTGAGATTTTCCTGAAATTTACTGACGTCTCCTGAATGTGATGTTGAAGTCTGGTTAGTTGTTGTCTATTTAGTTGAACACAGCGTTGAACGGACATTTAAAAAAAATAAATAAAAATGAAATAAAAAAAACAAACATTACGTTATCCACTTATTCCTCTCTCCTTTGCTCCTGRGTTACAGCAGGCGCTGTCATCTCCACGTACAGACCCCCACCCCCACCAGTGGGTACGAATGGTAGCCTATGGATTTTTAGTAAAAAATATAGATTTTTGAGGCTCGTTAGACAGGTAAACGTCCAAAGGGGTTGACATATATGAACACCTGCCCAGCTGGTGAGGGTGCGCGCCTGGTGCGAGAATCTACCCAAAGCACAGCTGCTGCACTACAGCCACAACTCAACTCAACATCAGCCAGAAGGTCACACACAGAAAAAATAATTATTCTTACCGWACAGTGAGACACCATTTGCATCTGATTTTGCTCCCTCGCTTCAGCCTTTTTTTTGTTTTATTATTATTTTTTTATGCTGCACGTAATGTGTCGGGTTTTTCTGGCCCGAGACCCAAAAGGTTTTCAACTATGTGACAAAACTATAAAACCAGTTTACAGACTGGACAGAGGTTATTTTGATCATTTTTAGACTGATCTATTTTCTTGTCTGAGGTTAAATAATATTTAGTCCCGGGGTTCAGTTTCATCATGGTTCAGTTTAAACATTAAAAACTCAAACTAAAATAAAAACCTAACAGCGTGTTCAGACGCTCCTTACATCCAGAAAACAAAACAGAGTCATATTTCTGTGGATTCAGGTCAGATTCGTGACTTTGTGAGTTAAAACTGTCGACTGAAAAACTTTGCGTGGCTGCCGCACATTCTCACGGCAGGTGAAAAGTGTGCGTAAATATACACACACTTTCACGCAACGTTGGTTTTGATACATCCCAATGTGGGCGTAGAACCTGGCGCACGTAACATTTTTGTGCGTACGCACCYTTTATACATGAGGCCCCTGGTGAAGCCCAACCCCCACCCTGAAAGGGTTCAACTTACAATGAACCAAGCTCTCGCACCGCTTGTATAGACTGAATGGCCCATAACAACGGACCCACGATTCCACACTCGCAGAACACCCCGACAGTGTGGAACAACTGTGGAACATGGTCAAATGCCTTCTCCAAGTTCACAAATACATGATGGGCAAACTCCCATGACCTCCTAGTGAGGGTAAAGAGTTGGTCCAAGGGTTCCACATCCAGGACAGAACCCGCATTGTTCCTCCAGAATCTGAGGCTCGACCATCGATTGGCCTCTCTTCTTCAGTACCTCTAGATCTTAAACTTTGTCACAATGTAACTCCTAATTTTGGTCGAAACAGTATAATTTAAGCATTGAATCAATACCTAAATTAAACTGCATCGACCAAAATATTGGACTATTGATATAATAAAAATATCAGAAAAACKGCCATGAACACCAATATTTACTGTACCTACAAACCTGACGTCATTTAAGATATCTTTAATTAGAGTTATGACTAGCAGGGGTTGACATAAGTGTTATTTAGGTTGTCTGAGACCTGTCTTCGTTTCGGACAACCAGATCCCGCCTCCTGGTTGTCCGTTGGACAAACAAAAAGTAAGATATAAAGTTCTCCTCTGCAATGATTAACCCTCATTTGTAATAATGAAAGGAGAAAAAACTTTTAATTCAATTCAAAAAATGTATTAATTTCATTAAAAAATAACTATGTACAATAAAAAACAAAGAAAATACACAAATCAAAATAAAATGAAAGGCAGCAGATGAAGAATAAATCTTATAATGTCTACGGGACCACATTGATTTTAAATAAGGTGTAATACACTTTCTCACCACTAGTAGCAGTAGTGCACCACTCAGATGTTTAACAACTTTTTAATATGTAGAAGAAGAACCTTAGAAATCTGCTGAAAATGGCAAGTACACTTCGCTGCAGCATGCAGAACGGGGCGGTGACAGACCTTTCCGTCAGTCCCATTC